ATAACGCCAGTGCGACGGGCTGGCCCTGGGCCCTTTCTCATTTCTCTAACTCCCCTCCTCGACTCCTATCCTCGATACTTAGTCCCGCCCAGAGCCCTAGAGAGATAATGAACAAAGATCAATAATTATCTCTCTAGGGCTCTGGTCCTGCCCACAGGAGATGCGAGCGGAGGAGCCGAGGAGGGGAACCGAGGAGAGAGGAAGCAGCAGGCGGTTAGAGAAATGAGAACTCCCTCTCCTCTGAGCGGTCATTTAAAGAGACGTCCATTAATGATGACAGGAGCACAGCAGCCCTCTGTCTGATGGACAGATGTGTTCATGACCACTTATATATTTACTTTTAATTTATTCACAGTGCGGTATAATGAGACAATAACAGGCTACAGATGTGGACACACACACACACATATATATTTATATAAGTATATACAATTTCAGAATCAAACAGAGCACTCTCATAATAACGTAACACTATCAGAGACTGGATATATCCCCCCCCCTCCCTTGTTTTATTTACAAGTATTAAAAGTAAGCAGAGGACACCAAACCAACTGAGACCTGTCTGTCCGCTGCATCTACGCACACACACCTACACCACACACACATACAGTTCCTAAAACAGGCTACAGCCGTTGTGCATTTTATTATGCGAAGCACTAAATGGTTTTAGAAAAATATCGACTCTTTGTTTGTAAATATCTACTAAACTAAAGCAAATACAGAGAGTAGGCCTGTTATACTGAGTGATATATATTATACACACTGCTCTGCTTTCTGCACGGACCTCACAGCTGTTCTCTCTGGAAACATCGCGTCGCGATGAGAGCAGTTAATAAAATAATATCCAGGGGATGCATGCAGAGCTGTCATTGGCTGAGATAAGTCCGGCCGTGCGTCACGCCTCTTTGAAACACCTCTGTTCCCGAAAATGCATCCACGAAGGAGCCGTGGAGGACCCATCAGTGTATCCTTGGTTATTGCTCCTCCAGAGAGCCTCCTCGACGCTCGATCCTCGAAGTGCATTTAGAGAAATGAGATGTCCTTCAACATGGCGAGCTGAAATTAATTTCCAGGTCACTACCGGAGGACCGAGGAGGGGGATTTGATGAAATGAGAAAGGGCCCTGGTCCCAGGTTACGCTATAGGAAGTGTAGGTACAACGCTACATTTCCCTCCCCGCCGCAGTAGGCTACGGAGAGCGGCGAGAAACATTTCCTCAGGCATCGAAAAGCGGAACCGAAATTCACATTTCTAAATAATGCCGTTGGAACAGGGGTGGTTCTAGGGGGGGCCAGTGTCCCCCTAACACTGACCTCTGACCCCCCTAACAATGAAACGTTTTTTTTTTTTTTTTTTTTAAATGTATATTCTCTGGTACTCGGTTTGCCAAAAACCGCAGGATTTTGTTGCTGTAATGTGAGATTGTGCAGACACCCTTATGTAAAGTAGAGATGTAACTGTTCATTGCCTTTATTTTTATATACATATGGTGTTAGTGCAAACATTGCACAATAACTTAAGCTGAAGCTAACAGTAATAACTATAAGATTTATCTGAAATAAATAAGTGTACTGAAACAAATACCAATAACTGTATTGCATTGTTTTCTTATGCGCAATTACTTCATACTGTCTAGTTCTCTTTTTCGTCCTGCATTTATTGTGCCCCCCTCAGAAAATAACTGGCCCCCCAGTCAAATTGGTCTAGAACCGCCACTGAGTTGGAATCAAAATGTTGGAACCGGTTCCGAACCGGAACCGGTTCTCGGTACCCAACCCTTTGCACAATATATCAATAGTCTGTTGTGTTGGAGTCTACCAGGGGCCGTTGAATAGTCTGACAGAAGTAGTAGACTAACATATTAAATAAAGAGGCAAACACTCATATATAAATATAACAATCAAATACAAATGAATACACATTCATAGAAACAATGCAAGCAGCATTATTAAAAGGTAAGGGAATATATCAAAGTAACGAGGAAGCAGCAAGAGACAACATTGATAGTGTCTAAAAAGAAAACAAGTGTATATTGCAACTTTAAAAGATATTGCACAAGTTGAGAGACGTCAGGATTACGAGACATCAAGTAGGAACCAGGTGCAATGTTTTCATATTATGTAATGTCGAACAATTATGATTCTGTGTAATCATGAAGAACATGATGACACTGGTTCTCCAACATTTCCCCACATCCATTACAAATCAAGTTTGAACATGTCGTCAGAAAAGCACAGGATTTCCCACGACATTGCGAAAAAGTTAAAATTGGTCGAATTACTTTACCACACAATTGTCACCTAACCTTTTTTATGTGAAAGTTATAAGTAACGTTTTTAGTTTGGGATTATATTTGACTGAACAACAAAAACTCAACAACAAAAACTGGAAAACAATTGCATAGTTAATATTTGAACCCCATATCATGATAGAAAGATGTATAGGGGATAATTATAAATTAATTAAAATAAAGAACAATGCAATTGTAGTTAATAAGCACTTGAGTACTTCACTCCATTCCACCATGGCCATTAACTAAAGACATTTATTAACTCAAAATATTATAAAATTAAACAAAGTTAAAAAACTAAAATAAGCAGTAAATGTATACATATCAACATTAGAAAATATGTCGAGAGTTAGGGTACTCCGGTATAAAGACAACATATAAAAACATAGGATAGATTAAAAAAGTGTGTGAAGTATAGTTGCAGTTTCTTAAAATTAAGTAATTTACCATTTCAGTCAAAGTCAACTTTATTGTCAATCTCAAAATATGTTTGTACACACAGAAAGATCGAAATACTGTTTCCCACAGTCCCGAGGTATCAAATAAAAGATATACAATATATATAAAATATGTATATACATACCTATACCCCAACTTATTTACATAAATAGCATGTGACTGGTGGGTTTGTGTGTCTGTGTGTGTGTGGGGGTTAAAGTCCCGGTCCAGTGGGGGTAGAATGGAGAGGGGATAGGTGGGAGAGAGGGGGGAGAGATGGGAGAGAGTTTAGCCTCCTGACGGCCTGGTGGAACTTTACATTTTTCTTGAATATGACATTTAAAAAAATATTACTAACTTATATTTCAACTGAATTTCCAGTGAAACTTCAATACAAATGTATGTAAACTGAAAATAATTCCTCCTTACCGGACTGACTCTAACATGACCCAAAAGCCTGCTTGCCATGTTGTTTGGCCTGTGAGCCTGAAGTAAATGAAGGCTTCTCAATTCTCTAATTTCCCCTCCTCGACTCCCCTCCTCGATTCCTATCCTTGTGTCTTAGTCCCGCCCACAGGAGATGCGAGCGGAGGAGTAGAGGAGGGGAATCGAGGAGAGCCTCCTCGATGCTCGATGTGCATTTAGAGAAATGAAATGTGCTTCAACATGGCGCACTGAAATCCATTTCCGGGTCACTACCGGAGGACCGAGGAGTCGAGGAGCGGGAATTAGAGAATTGAGAAGCCTTCAATGTTTCTGTTTGCTTTATTTTCTTGTCAGAGAGTACCAGAATAGTTTAAATGTTGAATACACATTTTTATATTTTAATATAAAGACTGAAATGTTCTACCAGGCACAGGATTCGAACGCACGGTAAGTAAGGGATAATGTGCAGCGAGGCGGTCATTGGGTAAAAGAACACCCGACAGGCGGATCAGGAGCCCGGTGCCAAGCATGCAGTTTGCTTTTCGGCCAAACTGTATACAGTTCAATCGACCGGACTTCTTTCTGCAGTTATGAGCGTCCTTAACAACGGGCAATAAGTGCTTGACAGCGGTCTGTCTGTACTGGATTAACAACGTGTTCTGAATTGACCAATCAGAATTGAGTATTCAACTAAGCCATGTAATACATTTAATTCTATAACACATAGGTGTGAGCAAGCTCTCTGATTGGTCAATAGGCGTGTTTGATTCCACGATCAAAGAACGGTCAAATAGAACGTGCCTTTTCACAACAAGTCGGTATCCCTCCGCGTCTGAGAAAAACGGTATACCCTTACTTGGCCTGAAAAGCAAACTGCTTGCACTCCAGTACAGGCGTACGGACCTCGGCGCAAGCGCCTCGGTCCTGCCGCAGTACTGTCGTACCAATAATGACGTTAAAGAACGGCCTCTCGTGTATGATTGCTTAAATATAGACTGCCTGCTTTAACCACTGATACAGCAACTTGACTATGCAGGATTGATTTGAAGTGAGGGGTCACAAAGGGAACATCTTTGTCCCCATTTACAAAACAACATTTTAATGAATTATTTTTTTATAGCAACATTTTTTTCAGGTTTTGTATTAAAAGTATTTTTTTAAATAATGTATTTAAATCTTATTTGTTTCACTTTGTTTTGTTTGTTTGAGTAAACATGTTTTTTCATACAAGATGTCTATATATTTTTAAGTTAGTTTTATGATTGTATTATGTATCATATTATTTAATTTTCTTACTATTATTGCATATTATTTCATTATTCAAATGATTATTTTCTCATTATTATTATTGTTTTTATTATTATTTTGTGGGGCCAAAACACATAAATGTAAATACATTTCCAATCATGGAAAAATAAATAAATGCTGTGATGTACCGTTATAATAAATAACATTTTCTAACAGAAAATTCAAACACTAGAAAAGTCATAACATCAGTTTTTAAATGAAACATCAGTTTTGAATACAACAAACATGAACAAAACATTATAAAACAACTTGATGGGGAAATATACAAAATATAAAACAACTCTAACAATGACACTTTGATATAAAATGAGACAAAAGAAAGAACAACATATCAAACTTTTAGCTGCATGGTTTGTTGTTATTGTTGACGTTGGTTTTCATAGAACTGAACTGTAGTGCATTGTGGGTAGTGTAGTTCTTCAGGGAATAAAACATGATTAAAACTGTATAGAAACAGAGGAGTACAGGAGGTAATACTGGTATCATGTAACACTGAGTACATCAACAGAGGGTGTTAAAAACATATCCATATGATGCTTCAATCCTAATTTAAGATTTAATCACACAAT